GCCACCCTCAGTCTCCTCCCGGGCCCTGGACCTGGTGGTGTCATTTCTGTACTCTGTGGTGCCTCCAGTAATGAACCCCCTCATCTACAGCATGAGGAACCAGGAGCTTAAGGATGCGCTGAGAAAACATGGGATAATCCTCAGCTATATCAGAAAATATTAGGACAGTATTTTGTTAATATTTGTCCTTGTTATTGTTTCTTACAACTTGAATTTTGATTTAAATATATTTATTATGAGCCTCCTACTTGCTAATTAGTAATTTTGTCCCAATCATTTCATGTACCTACAGAAGCAGGCTTCCTCTGTAGATAAACTCAATAAACAAGCCAGTAGAAATTCATTTGTTTCAGCAGCCATGTCTTGTCTTGTCCTCTGGACCTGGTGGTGCAAAGTCGTTGTTCAGGGGGATTTCAGGGACCAGAAGACCAAATACCAAAGGGAGCAGCAGCCCTGCTGTCCCTGGGAGATGCTCCTCACTGCCTGGTTGGCTCTCGCTATCTGTGCCCATTGAGCCAGGGCTGCTGCTTTGCTGGGGCTGTGGCAATGGGCAGGGGCAGGAGGTGGTCTTTTGGGTGCTTCTCTCTTTCCAATCCCATGATGTCCTACTGTATCTCTAGATTCCTGGTATCTCTTGGGTCTCATCTGATTTCACAGCAGTCCTGTTGTATATAACATTGGCATCCCTGTGTTTGCAGACAGGAGCAGCAATGCGCACCAATGTGTCAGAGCTGGTCACACTAGCCAGCAGCACCACAACACAAGGGGCTGCTCAGAACAGAGACCTGGAGGCCTCTTGCAAGGCTGATCAGCAATGCAGCCAATACATGAACCTGGAGAGCAGTGGGAAGAGCATGTGTCCAGATGGCCTGCTGAAAACATGCCCTAAACCATGGTCATTGATTTAGGAGAGCTGGAGACACCTGGAGGATGAGGGACATCAAATACGCAGCAGGATGGAGCAGCGGTGGATGCTGGGCATCGGTCACAGGGCATTGGCACTGGCACCACTGTCTGTGTCCCTGTACCTGAAGGCATCTGTGTCCTGCAAACAGAGTGCTGCAAAACACTGTATTAAAGCAAAAATAAAAACAGAATAAGACACCAAATCCCCTCAAAGGCTGGTGCTTTCAACCTAAAAAAAAGAGAGGACTCATGAGAATACTTCCAGTTGAGAAGTGTGTTAGCATGCTTTTATTGATTTCTATCTTTGTCTTCAGACCACTGTTTCAGTTTCATTGGCATTAATGAACATCTTTCAGAACTTACAGCTTCACAAATGAGAGAAGATCCATTGGTGTCTTGCACAGAGTCTGGTGCCCCTGGAATTTCCCGTCAGAAAGAACTGTCCATCATATCTCTCAGTCTTTGCACTGTCTGAGTCACACTGTGGTACTGAGCTCTTCTCGTGTTTCTCGGAGCTTGCTTTAGATGGTCACATGCAGCACAGGACTCATCATGTCCTTCATGCCCTTCATGCCCTTCACATCAGGTACTCTGCCTCATACTACTTGGTCCACATTCTCCCTAGCTTTCCTTTTGCTGCATATATTTTTCTACAAGTCCTTATTGTCTTAGATATGCCTGGGCAGATTCAACTGCGTTTGAGTTTCAGGCTTTCTAAACTCATCTCAGAAGGTACAGCAGAACAAAGTCTCTACTGCTGCCAGGTGACCACTTGTTGTTACCACTTCCTATATGCTTTCTTTCTCTACTGTACCCCACAGACACTTGAAGAATGCAAAGTGTTCTCTCCTGATGTCCAGAGGTGTGAGCTTGTTGAGAGCTTGTGTGAGCCAAGAGTCGTGAATCTGTCTTTTGCTCTCCCTTCAGAATTCTTAACTTTACCATCTCATGGACACTGCAGCACAGGCTATCTTTGATACTCATATTCCCAATGACTTCCTCCTTGCTGGTGAGTATGAGATGCAGCAGAGCAGCTCTCTTCTTTGGTTTCTCTATGGCTTGGTTAAGAAGCTGTCAGCAGTGCTCTACAGATATCTTCTGGATGTTGTGGGCTCTGCTGGGCTGTCCCTGCAGTAGGTACTGGAGAGAGTCAGGTTCCTGAGTGGGACAAGGGCCTGAAAATGTGAGGCACCTGTTTGTCTTTTTGAGTCCCCTTTTGCTTGTTTTTCATGATCTGGAAGCAAGGAACAGATGCTGCCAGTCTCCTCTTGGAGCCATTTCCATCAGTTCTCAGCTGGCTCTTCTGCCACCCCAAGGCAGAGCTCAGTGCACTCTCACAGAGGGCAGCAGCCTATCCTTTTCTTCATTGACCATCAGTCATAGAGTCCATATTCCCTTTGCTACAGTTCAGAGGTGGGAACCATCCCACCACGTCTCTGTGAGCCAAACAAGACCCCAGGACTGCAAATGCAAAAGATTTCGAGCTCACTGAGTTTATGTTCGTTCTCATTAATGTAAAGACACTTCAGAATGCATCCCATTCCAGAAGCATTATGTGATATAGCCTGGCTGGGCCTTGTATCTACACCATGGTACTGATGTTCAGAAGGTGGCACACAGGTACACACAGGTACACTGTGGGGCTCACAGGTGTCCAGGAAGCACTGGCACCACCATGACTTTCCTGAAAGCCCAGAGCTGCATTTGCCAACTGGCTGGGGGTGTGCTGGAGACTCCAGGGAGCTGCCATTCAAAGGAGAGCCCAGAAAAAACTGAAGTATCATCAGTGAAAGAATGTAGGTTTGTCACAGCCCTGTAATTCCTTAAGCTCCAGCATATGCAATAGATGGGGAAGAGAGAAAGATCTGACTCTTCATCTGGTGAGCTCATCCATTTGGTCAGCTGAATGTTCCATGGGGAGAGGTGAAAAATGACACCCTCAGGTGCCCATTACTGGGATACCTGATGTCATTTAGCATGGCCAAGAACACTCCCATTCCATGTCTGGCCCCCAGCTGATGCTCAGGAAGGAGGTGGCTCTCAGAGGCTGTCTACCACAGCTTGCAGGCACTGTTGCCACACATTTAGGAGAACCACAGGCACCTTGGTCATCACCGAATGCCTGTGTGCGAGCAAGCCACTTCCTGCTGAAGGAAAACAAAGGATGCAGACCAGGGGCTCACACATGCAGGCGACTGACTGTGCACATCTGATCTGAACCAACAGGAGAACCATCTCCTGTGGGTCTGTGGGGGAACTGAACCTAATTTCAATGCCAGGCTTTTCCATCTGGAGACGAGACACCTGCACCAATTGCCTCAGCTGAATGACTGCCCTGCACGGGAGAAATCAGAGGGTCCCTGTCCTTGTCTGTGTGTCCTTTTCGTTAAGGGCCAGGAACAGTGATATCCAGGTGAGGCATTCACAGCTCTTCTAGGCAAGCATGATCTGTTAGGATGAACCATATTTCTGGAATCAGTCTGTCTAGTGGTGATTAATTCATCTGACTTCAAAGTTCGCTTTGCAGAGCTGACCCAGTCTGTCAGCAGCTGCCAGCTCCAGATTTCCAAGGACATGTCCAGGGAGAGCAGTGAGGAAGAGAAAATGAAATTCTCTGCTGCTGATCTGCGCTGGGCTCCTGGGACTCAGGGAACTCATACAAGTGGGCAGTGCTGCAGAGAGACAGCTGTGCCCAGGAGCAGCTCTTCTACACAGCACAGCCTGCAGGTGACAGGAGAGCAGAGAAAGGGGAGAGAGCTTATAGAATGCGTATGGTGTGAACTGGTGGTGAGCTCACTGGAGGAGCATTTCTCACAGTTTTTGAGAAGGTAAGTCTTTAGCTACAGGCAATGCAGCTACATTTTCCTGAAGGGATCACTGAATTTGGGTAATCCCATTGCAGATCTGGCTGAAGACACTTCATGTTTCTTTACTGTGGAGAAAGACCTTCTCTAGTTGAGGTCTTCCTTTCTCCAGCATCAGAGCACAGCCCTGAGGGCTGCGTGTCCCAGGACGGCTGCAGGCTGTGCAGCCATGGCTGCAGCCGGGTGCCCAGGGCTGTCCTGCAGAGCAGGTCCTGCTGTGCCCCAGGGGCTGTGTGCCGGGGCAGGGACTGTGCTGCCTGCCAGGCTCAGCACTCAGCCTGCCTGGGGAGCTGCCCAGGGCGCTGTGGGGAGACGTGTGGGGGGAAGGAGCTCCCCGGCAGGGCAGGGCAGGGCAGGGCAGGGCAGGGCAGGGCAGGGCAGGGCAGGGGCCTTCTGCTGCCACAGCTGCTGCCTGGAGCTGCAGGATCACAGATACTCTGCATCACAGGGCACTGCCAGAGACCTTTCTATAAGAATAGCAATTACAGGGATTTTAGGCCAACTTTTCTCTCTCCTGCTTCCATAGAAGGGTAAATAATTCATCGAGTTTGAGCACATCAACTGATAATCCTGAAGTGCAGACACCTTTCTTGTAGGAAGCTCACACCCAGAAATGCTGTGGTGATGAGGCACTGCTGAAGTATGTTGAGAAATAGAGAATATTCAGTGATGGGCAGTGGATTCTTTTTCTCTCAGCTGTGTCTGCCTTCTTTTCACAATATTTTGGGAGTACAATCATTCTCCATCTTCAACACTAGCAAGCTCAGAGCGATTTGAAACAAGCCCAACCAGCTCCCCTTTCTCTACTTTTCTCTCCCTTTACTAAGCAGAGGTGAATCCCTTTGCCTCACAGGTCTCATAGGCATTCATACTGAGTACAGCAGAAGTGCTCCAAATTTCTCAATTCAGCAAATAGTCCATGGACACACTGAGTGAGAGGAGAAAGTGCAGAAAAACGATCACAATTTGCTTTTGTGACCACATATTTTTGGTTTTGAGTGAACAGATGCTGACTAGCACCTCCCTATAAGAATTTACTTCCTGTGACACATTTTGAAAAGAAAACCTTTCCCTACATGACCACATTTCCCTGTCCCAATGGGGAGCAGACTGCATCCTGGGGAGAAAAAGTGCAGAAGCCCTCCAGGCAAACTCAACCTCAAGAAATGTAGCTCCCATCATTGGGGTTGAATGAACATTTTGCACACAGCAATCTCTGTCTTTTTGTACTCCTTAAACAGGTTCTTGTGCCCAAAGGCAGCAGATGCCCAACAGCAGCTCCATCAGCCAGTTCCTCCTCCTGGCGTTGGCAGACACGCGGCAGCTGCAGCTCCTGCACTTCTGGCTCTTGCTGGGCATCTACCTGGCTGCCCTCCTGGGCAACGGCCTCATCAGCACAGCCGTAGCCTGCCACCACCGCCTGCACACCCCCATGTACTTCTTCCTGCTCAACCTCGCCCTCCTCGACCTGGGCTGCATCTCCACCACTCTCCCCAAAGCCATGGCCAATGCCCTTTGGAACAACAGAGCCATTTCCTACTCAGGATGTGCTGCACAGGTATTTTTCTATTTGTTTTTATTTTCAGCAGAGTATTGCATTCTCACCATCATGTCCTATGACCGCTACGTTGCCATCTGCAAGCCCCTGCACTACGGGACCTTGATGGACAGCAGAGCTTGTGCCAGCATGGCAGCAGCTGCCTGGGGCACTGGGCTTCTCTATTCCCTTCTGCACACTGCCAACACATTTTCTCTGCCTCTCTGCCATGGCAATGCTCTGAACCAATTCTTCTGTGAAATCCCTCAGATCCTCAAGCTCTCCTGCTCAAAATCCTATCTCAGGGAATTTGGGCTTAGTGTGATTAGTGCCCTTGTTTTACTTGGGTGCTTTGTATTCATTGTTGTGTCCTATGTGCAGATCTTCAGGGCTGTGCTGAGGATGCCCTCTGAGCAGGGACGGCACAAAGCCTTCTCCACGTGCCTCCCTCACCTGGCTGTGGTCTCCCTGTTTCTCAGCACTGTGGTGTTTGCCCACCTGAAGCCCTTCTCCAGTTCCTCCTCATTCCTGGATCTGGTGGTGGCAATTCTCTACTCAGTGGTTCCCCCAACCCTGAACCCTATTATTTACAGCATGAGGAACAAGGAAATCAAGCATGCACTCAGCAAACTGTTGCAATATGCACTATCCCAGCTTCGATAAAATGCACATCATCCTCACGTGATTCACTGTATTTTTTTTTTTTACTTTATCTACGTTCGATTTTTTGACTTTGTAACTGTGATACAATAATCTGGAAAAAAAAAATTTAAAAAATTGCAATTTATTCCTCTTCTTCTTTCCCATCCACTTACTATTTTTTCATTCCAACTGCTCTGATAAATGTGGAACCAGATCACCCAAATAGATTAGAAGACACTGAAACACCTTGCAAAAAATACTGTTCCTTAACTGTTCTCTCTCCCTACATCATCTGAATTTGGAGGATGTACAGCCACAGTCAGCAGCACAACACGCTCTTTTCATTGCTGGTCTCTTTACGCTGCCACACTGCTCTCATGTCCTCGCATTTGTGCAGACCTGAAGGTCTTGTGTGTCTCACAACAGTGCTGTTGTCTCTACAGCAGCACTCCGGGGCTGCAGTCAGTAGTCAGCAATATGAACTGCTGTGTCACAGCTGGTCTCCTTGCTGGCACCACCATAACAAGAGGGGCTCATCAGAGCAGGACCAGAGAACTGGAGGCCTCTTCCAAAGCTGCTGTAAGGAATATACCTCAGGAGCTGCTCTATGACAAGACATTGAGATCTTCTGGTGCTTTCACTGAGTCAGTGGCTCGGATTCAGAGTCCCAAGGTGATCTGTTATGGTCTCAGGGCAGCACTGTGGTTGAGCATGGAAGGTGGCTCAGCACCACGCAGTCATTCGCTCCCTGCCCCCTTCCCAGTTGAAGAGGAGACAAAACTGAAATAAAACCACAAAGTCAAATCTATGGGTTGAGATAATATTATTTAGTAAGAGAAAAAAAAAGAAAGGGGTAGTAATTTTGACGTGTTTTTATTCATCTATGATATATGTAGTATATATTCACGTTTTGCCCAAAGAGGTTGTGGATGCCCCTTCCCTGGATGCATTCAAGGCCAGGCTGGATGTGGCTCTTGGCAGCCTGGTCTAATGAAAGTAGATGATCATTGTGGTCCTTTTCATCCCAGTCCAGTCTATGATTCTATGATTCTATGATATACATAATATACGCAGTTGCAAACATTTTTGCATAGGGACCAATATATATGTATATATATTTGAAACTCCAGGTCCCATTGCAGGGTTTGGAGCAGCCACTGGGCTCATTGCACGGGTTGGAGCAACTACAGGGCTTGTCCTGGGAGTTGGAGAGACCACAGGGCTGTACCTCCTGGCACAGTGCACCTCCCTGGGGAGGAATTCTTTTACTTTTCTTAGCACAGTGCTTGGAACAGCTACAGGAGCTGTAACAGGAGTGACCACCAAGGTTCATTGTGAGGGTAGGAGTGACAGTGGGGTCTGTCAAAAAGTGTGGAGCAACCACAGGACCTGTAGCAAGAATTGGAGCGGCTGCAGGATCTGTCCCAGGAATTGGAGAGGCTGCAACTCTGTCAGCAAATCCAGCTCTCTTCCCCTTGAGGATACTGAAGAGTGTTGAATACAGCTCAGTAGGTGTGTGCCAGGCCCTGGCACACTGCAGTGGTTTGTGCCTCTTTAGGATTACCTGGGCAATAGCAGACCTTCCCCAAATATTCTACCAGTTTGTGAGGATTCTGCAGTTGCCTGGAGACGAAGTTCCAAACCCCTGGGGGTGCCCACCCCTCCAGGTACCTGCCCAGACCATCCCACATCCCCTGCCATGCAGAACTATACTGCCTTGGGGCAGATATCTCTGTGATATTCTTGAATAACTGTTTAATCTGAAACAAGCTGAAACACGTTGAGAACACGTAGCAATGGGAGCACTCTGGTTTGAACATCCCACGAATAGACAAAATTCTCAGGAGCTATTGTTAGTAGCTTTTGAGCTTTAGGGAAAGAAGTGAAACGGAGGCTGAGGAACCGCTGGAAAGTGTTCTCCCTTACCTCCTCCATAGCTGGGCTCCCTGACAAAACCAAGAGTGTGATTAACTAATATCAACAATATTACTTCCAAAGAACGACTGCAGAGCTGAATGCACACAGAACTTGAGTTTGTCAGCTGACCATTTTATCACGATGTAAGCCAAGGCCAAACAGCACAGCAAAATAAAATCCCTAATCCAGCCCCCAGAGTTGAGAAACAGTTCCGCAGGAAAAACAAGCAGCAAGCAAGGAGCTGTGCAATGCAGTGTCATGAGAAGACTGAATGAGCTCCATAAGTTGGGAAACAATTGGCATCACGACCAGCAATTATCCAACTACCACAGAGCCCTGTGCTAACTTGCTCTGGACAGATCTGCTGCTGTCTCAGCCATTGCAGCCCCACATCAGGCACCAAAATGACGGTGGTGGTTTAAACCGGCAGGAGGCTCAGCACCACACAGGGCTTTGTGCACTGCCCCTTCCCACTGGGATGGATAAGAGAACTTGGAAAAAACAGAGCACAACACGTGGGTTGAAATAAAGCTCTTTACTAAGAGAGATAACAGGAAATGTGTGATAGTTATGACTATATGTACCTCCATATAGAATCATAGCATCATAGAATCGCTCAGGTTGGAAAAGGCTGGAGTAAGGTGTGTGTAAATCCAGTGCAAACTGTGATTAAAACCAGGAGAAAAGTAAGAGTAAACTTGGTGTAACATGTGAGTAAAACTTGGGTAGAGAGTGAGTGAAAAGCAAAGGAAATTGCAAGTAAAACCCTGAGTAAGGTGTGGGCACACACAAACTAAAGTGTGAGGGCACCCAGAGAAAAGTAAACCCAGAGTAAAGTGTGAGGTAACTCAAAGTAACGTGTGAGTAAAATCTAAAATAAAGTTGGAGTAAACCTGGAGCTGAGGGTGAGTCAAAGACTGAGTAAAGTGTTAGTAAACTCTGAGTAAAATGTGATCAAAAAGTGGAGTAAAGTGTGTGTAAAATCTGGAGTAAAGTGTGAGTAAAACCCAAAAGAAGATAGGAGTAAACCGGGAGTAAAGAATAAGCAAACTTGAAGTAAATTATAAACACTTCTGAAGTAAAGTATAAGTAAACCCAGAGTAAAGCATGAGTAAAAGCTAGAGTAAAGTATGAGTGATATCAAAGTAAAGTGTGATTAAACTCAGAGTATGTTGTGAGTACATCCAGAGTAAAGTTTGAGTAAACACACAGCAAAGCATAAGTAAATATGAACTGTGTGAGTAATCCCAGAGTAAAGTCTGAGTAAACCTGGAGTACATTGTGAATACACTCAGAGTAGAGTGTGAATAAAATCTGGATAAAAGTCAGAGTAAAGCAGAAGTAAAGTATCAGTAAACCCAGAGAAAAGTGTGAGGTAATCAGATGTAAAGTGTGAATTAAACCAGTGTAAAGTGTGAATAAACCCTGAAGTAACGTGTGAGTACACTCGGAATAGACTGTGAGTACGCCAGTTGTGCAGTGTGAGTAAAGCCTGGAGAAAAGTAAGAATAAAGCTGGAGAAATTCTTGAGTAAAGGAAGTAAACTGAGAGTAAAACACAAAGGTGAGAGTACACCTGGAGTATGGTGTGAGTAAAATCTGGAGAAAAGCAAGAGTAAACATGGAGAAAAGTGTGAGTAAACTTGAAGTAAAGTCTGAGTAAACCTGGAGCTTAGCATGAGTAAACCCCAGAATAAAGTGTGATTAAACCTGAAATAAAGCATGAGTGAACCTGGAGTAAAGTTTGCATACAACCTGAAGTAAGGTGTGAGCAGACCCAGAGTACAGCGTGACTGAGAAAAGTGACCCTGAGAAAAGTAAGAGTAAACCCGAAGTAAAGTGTGAGTGAAACCCAGACAAAGTGTGAGTGCACACAGAGTAGAGTATAAATGCACCCGGAGTAAAGTGTTTGTAAACTTGAAGTAAAGTGTGTGTAAACCTGGTGTTAAGTGTTAGTAAACATGGAGTAAAGTGTGAGTAAAACCCTGTGATTGTGTTCTTGCCGTGGAAATTTCCAGTCACACAGAAAGCTGCTGAACAGAGTAAGGTTGAGACTGGAGTGTTCCAACCTGGGCAGAATCGGCACAGGCACTCGGTAAGGTAATTACATCAGGTAGGGGAGAGCCTGGAACAGGATAGAATGAGTGTGTTAATTTTTGAGAATATTGCCCTCCTATTGCCATAAAAAGTACAGAACATACCTAAAAACAATGGGTTGGTAACAGTCATTGCGTGGAAATGTAAGGAAGAAGAGCGTTGTGAAGATTGTGAGCCTGGGATGCTCAACCAATGAATGCCAGGAGAGGCTTTACCTGCATCTGACCCAGGGTATATAAAGGGATGGATTTCACTGAGTACTTGTCCAGTTTCTCCCTTGTCGGCAGGGGGAGTGCACCCATTACTGCAATAATGCATAATCTGCTCTTCAGAAAGTTCTTTGCCTGATTAGAAATTGTTGATCTGGAGCGTGTTTCTCACAATGTGGTGCCGAAACCTGGGAAACAACAACGTCTGTGGTGAGCCTCCACTTCTACAGCACAGGACAGTGTACCCCGCTCATTATTCTGCAGCCCTGTGGGTTGGCTTTCATTGGGTTGGGGGTTTTCCTTGGGCTTATGGTGTCATCTGCTGGGGTACTGGGTTAATCCCTTGATTTTGGGGGTCATGCTAGGAGTTCTGGGTGCTCTCAGTTATCCATTTGGATTTTGGGGTTCATTGTGGAGCCAGTTGTGTACCCGAGGCTGTTTTTAAGAGGCAAGATCTGTGAACAGCTGAGGGATAGGGATGGACAGCAGGCACTGTGGTGTTGTGTGACTGACCTGATAACTCCTGGCAACTCTGTGCACAGAGCAAGGTAAGAACAATCATGTGTGATTAAGTACTGCCTTGGAGGTCGAGGTCTGGGACTCTGATGTTTTATGTGAACATCTTGCAAAAAGGTTACTTAATGATACACCTCATTTCGTAGGACTGAGGCTTGGTGTGCTCGGCGCTGCAAAAGGGCGGATTCTGCAGTCCTACGGCCATAGGTTGCTGAGAGAAATGGAGAACAAGAGTTCCAAGGCGAGGGACAGTGAGTGAGCCACCAGAGCAGTGCCTGCTGTA